TGGTATGAATAGTTTATCAGTCTGGGCATGGATGTTTTTATTTGGACATCTGGTTTGGGCTACTGGATTTATGTTTTTAATTTCCTGGCGTGGATATTGGTAGGAATTGATTGAAACTTTAGCATGGGCTCATGAACGCACACCTTTGGCTAATTTGATTCGTTGGAGAGATAAACCGGTGGCACTTTCCATTGTACAAGCAAGATTGGTTGGATTAGCCCACTTTTCTGTAGGTTATATATTTACTTATGCAACTTTCTTGATTGCCTCTACATCAGGGAAATTTGGTTAATTTTGTTAATTGAATGTTTTGTATCCGCGATAATCTCATTTCTTTCGATGAAGAAGAGATCCACCTTCTTATTTTATATTTCTACATCTAGGATCCGACTTGTATCATGGATACTAATAGGAACTTAATGAGTATGGCAAAAAAAAGTTTGATTCAGAGGGAAAAGAAGAGGCAAAAATTGGAACAGAAATATCATTTGATTCGTCGATCCTCAAAAAAAGAAATAAGCAAAGTTCGATCGTTGAGTGACAAATGGGAAATTTATGGAAAGTTACAATCCCCACCGCGGAATAGTGCGCCTACACGCCTTCATCGACTTTGTTTTTCAACTGGAAGGCCAAGAGCTAACTATCGAGACTTTGGACTATCCGGACACATACTTCGTGAAATGGTTCATGCATGTTTGTTGCCAGGGGGGACAAGATCGAGTTGGTAAGGATTAAAATATCTCTTTATTTCATTTCTTTGATCGATGATCATAGACGGCCTCTTTACCATTCTGTATAAATAGGCTATTCTATTTGTACAGATATGGTAGAGGGGTAAAGGAATACATGTACTCTTTATGACTAGACGAGGAAACTAAGTGCTAGAATCGGGGTTTGTGGTTGATGTATAATGTTTTCTCAAAATATGATTTTTTTGTGATTTATGTTCATTTACAACCTAAAATATTTACATGTTTAATAATTTATTTTAAACTAAATTATTACTATAAATAACCATTATATATTTTAATAATTATTTTATTCAAATTATAGATAATTCTATTCATTTTAATTTATCATTGAATAATTTTAATTATAATTGTCAAAGATATTCAACCTTATAAGTTAGTTGCTGACATAATATTATAACAAATATTATTTTTAAAATAGTGTTGGTGTTGTTGGATTAGGTGTCTGATACGACCTTGTTCCCAACAGAAGACTTTTTTCTTTTAATTCCTTTGCATGGAGATAGTGTTAGATCATGTTTCCTTTTTCTTAGGACCTTAATGTTACCCATTTACTTCCAGTAACATGTTCACGTTTCCAATTCCTAGATTAGGTAGTTTTATTTCCTTCATTATAAATAGCTTGTCCATTGCATCAGATTAATAGAGAAGAAAATTGTTTCAGTTTGTGTTCTTAAATTTTGTTAGTAGAAAGGAGATTAGCCATATCAGAATTTGGCTTTATCAATTGGTGCTTTCATATTCGTCTTCATGCCTCCCAAAACCGAGTCAGGTTCCACCTCCGACACCACCAAGGCCACACCCGACAACCCAATCGCCGCCCTTCATGCCCACATGCTTCATATCGCTCAAATTACCACAAATACCAATGCTAAACTCGATAAATTGATCCAACTCATGACCGACCAACGCGTCAATCAACCTCCACCGCCGCCACCACCGCCGCCACCACCCCGCCGCCGCCGCCACCACCACGCGATCCAAATCCGATCCTCCGACCACCGAAAATTCTCCTGCCCACTTTTGACGGTTCCAACCCACTTGATTGGATTTTTCAAGCCGAAAATTACTTCACCTACTACAACATTCCTCCGCCTCAACGCCTTTCCTTGGTTGTCTTCTACTTTACCGGTGATGCTTTAAGCTGGTACAAACATCTTGCCAGCAACAACCTTCTTGGCACTTGGCCGGAGTTCACCCGTGCACTTGAACTGCGTTTTGGCCCATCTACATATGAAAATCACCAAGCAATCTTGTTTAAGCTTCGACAGTCCACCACCGTCTCCGCCTACCAGACCGAGTTTGAAAGAGTTAGTAACCGGGTCATCGGTCTCTCTTCCGTAGCCTTGCGTAATTGCTTTATCTCCGGTTTACGTCCCGACATTCAATCGGAAATTGCCATCCATAACCCGCAAACACTTCATGCCACTTATGGTCTCGCCAAATTAATTGAAGACAAACTCCATGATAACCTTCTTCCTACTGCTGGTAATTCGGAACCACCACCACCGACTCTACCTTTGTTGGCTGCCTCTCCTTCCACTTCCCCACCACTTCCGATCAAGAAACTAAGTCCCACCGAAATGCAACAACGAAGGGCTGAAGGCCTATGTTACAACTGTCCCGCCAAGTATCAACCCGGCCACCAGTGCAACCCGCCCAAGTTCCTTCTTCTTCAATCAGAAAACGAGCCACCATGGCCTTACCTGCAACAAACTGACTTTGGCCTTGCGAACAAGGCAATTTCTTAGGGGCGGAGTATTGATACGACCTCGTTCCCAACATAAGACTTTTTCTTCTAATTCCTTTGCATGCAGATAGTGTTAGATCATGTTACCTTTTTCTTAGGACCTTAGTGTTACCCATTTACTTCCAGTAACATGTTCACGTTTCCAATTCCTAGATTAGGTAGTTTTATTTCCTTCATTATAAATAGCTTGTCCATTGCATCAGATTAATAGAGAAGAAAATTGTTTCAGTTTGTGTTCTTAAATTTTGTTAGTAGAAAGGAGATTAGCCATCTCAGAATTTGGCTTTATCAGTGTCTAAGCCCATAACTATTTTTGGTATGTACTTGATTTGATTATGAGCATGGTCCTTTTTGGTTGTCTTCACCATAGCAATTTGATAGGATGAATTATGTGAAAGAGGTTAATTGTGATTTATTAATACATTATAAGAATAATATATTAATGGAGAAATCATATTATTTAATTAGTATTGATCAAGAATTAATTTAGTAATCAAAAGAGATTAATTAAATAAACGGGGACTGATTATGTAAATCAGTAATAGTTGTAGTTTGGGCTCATGGACCCCATTGGTATAGGTGGACGAAATCTCTATGAGAGTCCATAATTATTTCGTCCAAGGCTTGCCAAATTGGATCCATATGTTACTTAGGGCCTAAGCAAGGGAATTAAGGTTTCCAAGTTGTAAACCCTAAGAGCCTCAACTATAAAAGGAACCCCTAGCTCCTCAAAATCGGCACCTATGATCCCATAAGAAACCCTAGCCGATTTTAGGAGTCCCTAACCTCTCTCTCACAATTCTCCATTGCTACTTGGTGTATGTGATTCCATTAGAGGTGCAACAATTGGGACACTAAGCTTTCAAAGGCCAAGGAGTTCTTGTTATTGCTACATAACAAGTGAGATAATGTTCCAAACCCTATTTTACATATGATTTTTGAAATTGGTATGCTAGTATTAGGGTTTATGATTTGGATGATTATTTGCATGTATAACTTGAGAAAAACCTAGATCCAAAGCATTAGGGTTGCATGTATACCATAGGAATGTTGTAGTGCTCAAAACCCATCAGCGGTATCAGAGCCTAGATCGTTTTTTCTGTTATATGTGATGCTAATGTGAATTGTTCAAAGCTGGAAAATTTTCGTTTTTGCTTTCTGCCTGATCACCACGAGGTGGTGTCGGGTCTGATGGATTTTTCGGATTTTTAGCTAAAAATAGATTAGGATAATTACCATTAGTTGTTTTAACTGTTAAGATTCGAATTTCATGATGTGGTAGTTGATATCCTCATCTAATTAAAGGATGATTGTCAAATTTTAAGATAATTACAAGATTATATGATATATTAGTTATTTGTAAAATTTGATTTGAATTATCCTACCATATAAAATAGATTAGGTCAAAATTTTGATAAAGATAAAATTAATGATTAATTTAATTATTTTAAATTTGATCTAAAAGGTTTTGACAAGTTTCAAAATTTGCCCTCAAATTTTGGAATATAAAATTTAATTTAAAGTTTTAATTTGGAAATATTTAAATTCTAAACCGTAGTATTTTAATAGTTTAAAATACACCCTCATGGATTGTATTAATAAATTAATTAAGTGTTTTAGTTAAAGGACAATTAATAAGTCTATAGATAGGTTTAAGTTTAATTAAATTAAAAGTCTAATTTATTAAAAGATTAAACCTTAGTATTTTAAATGTATAAAATACACCCTTATACTATATAAAATTAAAAGTCTAATATATTATATACGTATAAGTAAATAGTCAGTCTTACCGTTAGTAGGCCTCATTCACGAAGTTGGTCTATAAGGGGTGTTTAAGGAAGCGACATGTAAAATGACTGCCATTGGGTATCCACTCTTACCCACCGCACCCTTGACTAGTGGAGGGTCGTTAGCCGAATGGGTTGGATAGGACACAAACTTCCATTATCAGTATAATGAAATACGAAGTAACTAAACGCTTTTATAAATTCCCAATCTTAGTTACTTTAGGAAAAATGTGAATTTGATGCTAATCCATGAAATTGCACATTGCACCTTGTTGGTCGTTAGTGGAGCGTGTGTGGTTAATCGGCACACTAATATGGGACTAATGAAGGATGGCAATGGGTAGCTCATAGATTATCATAGATCAATGGAGCGTGTGTGGTTAACCGGCACATTGATTAGGTGATAAACTTCTTCGAGAGTACCAAACTAATTTGCATGGTTATTCACACCTTGTTTGTGATCCTCCGTATCCCAGTCACAAACTTGAAGGACATAATCGAGATTAAACATGCCATTGAAAAGTTCAATGAATCTCAAAAGATCTAGGAATTGCAATTCATTTAAAACCTAATGTTCATTTTCGTTTTTCATGGTGGAAATTGGTAAATCGTCATTTACCTACCTTCAAATATTTTGCAATTGGATTATGGCATCCCTCTTCCGAATTGTAGAATATTGTGTTGGGTCCTAGCCTTAATATTTCATTTGGGTGTCATATTAAGGACTTAAATCAACCAACTTGAATTTCTCCCTCTTGTAGATGTCTAATTCTAACAACTATGGTCTTCCCGAATCTTTTAGAAAAGGCTTTCCTCATGAAGATGATGTTCCATGTTTGGATTGTGGAAATGGAAATCATACTTCACTTCCTCCACCTCCTCCAATTATTCTCCCTGACCCACGTGTTCGAAGGCTTGAAAAGTTCAAGGTCACTCAAGCCCTATTGGCAAGAAAACACGAAGATGGAAAGTCTGTATGTGCTCACGTCTTGGAGATGAAGTTGCATATTGACAGGCTGGGAATGTTGGGTGTCGATGTCTCTAGGAAGCTAGTTGTTGACTTGGTTCTTCAATCACTTCCTATGTCATATAGCGGGTTCATTAAAGACTAATATATGGAAGACCACGACGTGACCCTCATTGATCTAACCTATTTGCTTATTGTTGTTGAATCAACAATGATTTGGCGTACTGGTAAAGCAAACTTGATTGGTAGATCTACTTCCCAAACTTCCATGGACATAGGAAATGACAACGATTGTCCAGAAAGGATTTCTTCTCCTAAGGGAAAGAAATATGCCATGTTCAAAAAGTTTGATCATAAGAGAAAGGCGAATTCTGAGATAGTCCCTTATGTCATTCCCAAAGAGTCCATATGCTTCAATTTCCAAGAGAAGGGGCATTGGATGCTAAGCTTCCATATTTACCTGAAAGATCGCAAGGATGAAAAAGTCAAGATGTATGACTCTACTTCAGGTAAATCCACTATCTAACTCTATTAAGTTCCTATTTGTAGAATCTTAATACATGATGTGATAAGATTGCATTTTGTGAGAACTCCTTCTCTAAACTTTACAATATTATTACTCCAAACATGCTACATGCATATTCATAATATAATTTACAAAAGTCTGGATACAAACCAACTATTAAGATTTTTAAAAAGTTTTATATATTACATAACTTCCCAGGAATTTATACACTAAGTACAAAAGTGATAATATTAACTATTCTACATCTTCTTACAGTATATGACTATACTGGATGCTTATCACCTGCAATAGTTAAACACTGAGAGGGATAAGCGGGTGACGTTTAGTGAGTTCAATAACAGTTACAATTTGACGCTATGTCATATATATATCAATATGACAGAAACAAGGAGGGACAAAGAACAACAAAGGCAGATGAGTATCATATGATAGGCTTTCCATATTAACCAATAATCTGATTCAAAGATTTACAATCAATGAAATACAACAATTTCAACATGATATACATCAATAAGACTTCAGCCCAAGTGGCATAGAAAATAAACAATTTCATATTATCATTTTGCTAGAATATACAGGCTTTTAGCCCTACCTAGCATTCTGCCAATACCCAAGTGATACGAGTCATTCTCTACATGCCCAAAGGCACAAAGCCAATACCCAAGTGTTACGAGACATGCTCTACATGGCCAAAGGCTTCATACCAATACCAAAAGTGATGCTTAGTCATTCACTTCATGGTCAAAGGTATAGCTCCATTATCATAATAATACGGGAAAGCACATTGCACATATAACACATAACATACAATTGTCCCTATATTGAACTCACCGTGAAATAACCGAATGATGAAATGATAATTTGGGCAGCACTTCGTTTCTAAAAATGACTTTCTTTGACGAAACCGGGGATTTTAGTTGAAAACCGGGCTTTGTGTGGGCAGAGTTTCGACTGAAAATATTATTTTCTCAGGGTCTTCGGTGCGCCGGGACTTGCTTCGGGTGTTGGGGTATTTCCCTAGGCTTCGGGGGGTGTTAGTGTGGCTTAAAAGGAAGTAAAAGTTGAAAGAAATGAAAATTTGTAACCTAAATCCGGGCTGTCTTGCATGGTGTTTATAGGGGGCTGCTGACTTCGGAGCGCAGGGCGTACCTGCGAGGAACGCAGGGCGTTCCTTCGGACGCAGCACGTAGGTGCGAGACGCGTGTTCACTTCTTCTGAGCTTTGTACGTGTCATCCATGCGAGGTGCTAGGTGGCTGACTCCGGACCAGGTGGCTGCGAACGCGGGGCGTTCCCTCGGACGCATGGTGTTCCCTTCGGATAAGCTTCGAAATGTGTGCCACAAACTTCAAAAATTCACATCTTTTTGCATACGAGCTCCGTTTTTGACTTTCTTTATATGCACGCGTAGGTGAGATTATACTCTACAACTTTTGTTTAGACTCCGTCGGCTAATTTTGACTTTATTTTTAATATTATTATTTTTAACAGACCGGGACAGGAAAATCCGTTAAAAATTTATAACTTCTTCATCCGACGTCCGTTTCCGTCTGTCTTTTTACCGTTGTACTACTATTGACGAGACCTTCGATTCTCGTTTAGGTTGTGTCGGCTAAAAATCACTCGATCTTTATTTCGACTTTTGGACTGTGTACTGCTATGCCGAATCTTAGAAAAATCATAACTTCCTCATACGAAGTCAGATTTGGACGTTCTTTTTATG